GTGAATTTTCCATCTTTACTTGGCTTATTTTTATTTACTCCTTTAATCTATGACTGTCTGTACTCTGTCTCTTTAACTACATTACACCCTTTTTTATTGAATCATTGACTTTATTTTATGACCCTCCATACTCTTTTTCTTCTCTCTTCTAAGCCTACGTACATTTATCCAACACTGTGACCCCTTTATGTCTGAATCTGTCCTATTGTGAATCTGTAATTCTTTACTGTCCACGAGAACTTCTTAAAATGAAAACTGCTTCTTAAAAACTTAAGTTGTGCTATTAGTAGGGAATATATGGCACTGTCTGCTTGCTATGCACAGTCTAAAACTTAAGCTGTACTATTACTATGATATATATGGTACTTCCTGCTCACTCTGCACAGTCCAGCATGGTGGAGCCACCTGTGTCTCTGAGCCACGTGCACCACCCCAGTTACAGACACAAAGCTGGTCCACGTTACCATTAAGCAGGCAGCAGCAGTCTGCTCAAAAATCCCATCCAAATAGTTGGTCTCCCGAAAGAGCCAGAGGTCACCCTGGCAGCATAGCCCAGAAAGCCAGCATTTTAAGACAGCTGTGGCTTTTTTCCTACTATGGCTAAATCAGGAAAATCTCTCTTAAAGGTGCTTCAGCAAGTTGCCAGCAAACAGCAAGAAGCTGTGTTAAACTCTGTATTATTTTTTATCTAGAATTCCTTTTCAAGCGCTCTCAGGTTTTATGTGGATTTAGATGGTCATGTGGGTGCCAATAATCACACAGAAACTGTATTAGTTAAAACACTGGCCCATTAGCTCTAACTTCTCATTGGCTAACTCTTACATTAATTTAACCTATTTCTATTAATCTGTGTATCGTCATGTGGCAGTGGCTTACCAGGTAAGATTCCCAGCATCTGGATCCGGCAGCTCCATGGTGTCTCTCCCATTGTGGGCCCTTCTCTGTCAATCACTAATTAATAAAATGCCATAGAGGCCCGCCTACAGCCCAAACTGATGGCATCATTTTTCTCAACTCAGCCCCGCCCCCCATCAGATGCCTCTAGCTCTGTCAAGTTAACATGAATACTAGTCAACCCACAATGTCTTCCCTTCAATAAATATTTTTAGACACCTTTGCCAAAAATCAGGTGCCTGGCTAAATGTAGTGGTACATGCCTTTAATCTCATCCCTTGAAAGACAGAACCAGGAGAATCTCTATGAGTTTAAGGATGCTGGTCTACACTGAGAGTTCCAGACCAGGGCCACACAGTGAAAATCTATTCTTATTATTTTTCTTCATAACACTAAAGAAAGTTAACATTTTAGTGCATTGCCTAAGTATCAAGGTCCCCACTGAAGGAACATTCATATGACATAAGAAATATTGTGTTTTCTGCCTTGGAGGGTTACTCAGTCTAGGGGTTGTAACCCGCCTGGCAGTTCAGTAATTACAGGGTCCTGGAGAAGCGCTATCTGGAAGATATGGGCGGAAAGAGAGGAAGGAGGTCAAGCGGGGTTCTTGTAAAAGTCTCAGTTTATTAGAGACAGGGTTACAGCTTATATAGGATAAGGAATTTGGGGGGGGGGCACAGGGGCCTGGACTTTTGCCGCGTGGTTCACGTTGGTCATGTAGGCCAGGAGGTTACGTTCGGTCAGGTCACGTAGGCCAGGAAGTCACAAGTTGACATACCTAGTTCTCTAGATAGTTTGGAATGTGGGGCGGGTTCCGCTAACAGATAGCTCTCTATTAACAGATAATTGGGTGTGGGGTAGGCTCTATCAATAGAACAGTTCTCAATACAATTGGGGGTGTGGGGTTCTCTGCAGACTCCCCAGGGTGATGGTTCCTGTAATAATTTGGGGGGGAAATTGGCTCCTGACAATATTGCTCTTTGTTTGGGCTTTCTTTGGTGGCAGTGGAGGGAGGATGTTAAGACAGAGTCTCACTACATAGTATTCACTGGTCTTGAACTCACTACATAGCTTGAATTTACTGAATTCACTATACAGAACAATCTGGCTTTAACTTATACAGACCCCCTGCATCTGCCTCTGCCTCTGACTCCTGAGTGCTAAGACTGAAGGCTTCTGACACCACATTAAGCATGCAGTGCTTATATAACAACTATACAGTTCTACTTACTTAAAGATTATTTTGGGAATATTTTCTTACCTTGCACTACGATGTTTCCACCTCTTTTTCTGTCTTAATATTGCCACTTACGCCCTTACTTAATGAGACCAATCTGTTAAGTATAAAAAAGAAAATGATAAATATCTTATTTAAAGCACATACTTGAGTAAAAGAGAACCTCTAATCTTTCCATTGAACACTATATGATGTAATAGCTGAATGCTGGTATTCTATCTTTGTTGGAAAAGGAAGGTAGGTGCTAGAGCCTAGATATGATGAACCAGGCATGCAGGCATTGTATCAAAAACATGGGTGGAGCACCCAGAGCAAGGTGAAGATGGTGCCAAGCAGGAAAAAGTAGTCATTGTGATAGTCAATAGGTTATAGATGGAGAGATAAGTCTATTAAGGAAAATTAAGAGTCAAGCATGGTATCACATGCCAGTAATCTCAGCACTTGAAGAGACAGAAACAGGAATATTTTCACAAGTTCCAAGCCAGTCAGAATCATAATATGGAACCTCATGTTAAAACACATAAAAGGGCTAGAGAGATGGTTCAGAGGTTAAGAGCATTGGCTATTCTTCCAGAGGTCCTGAGTTCAATTCCCAGCAACTACATGGTGGCCTACTGCCATACCATGGCAGCCTAGATGCAGGGATTGAGACACAGAGGCTTCTTTTCCGGTGGAAGAACAGCAACCTTTATTTCGCCCTGAGCTAAAGGCCTTTTATACCTCTACTGCTTGTGTAGAAAACCACCAGCCAGAAAGAACACAAACATCCTTGTCAATTACAGACCACAAGGAATTCTGCTGTTGGTCAAGGGGAGTAAAGGCAGCTAGATCACAACAGCCAACCATCTATAATGAGATCTGGTGCCCTCTTCTGGCCTGCAGGTGTACATGCATACATAATAAATAAATACTTTTTTTTAAAAAAACCACAAACAGATAAAGGAAAAAGAGGGGAGAGGAGAAGAGAAAAGTGGAGGGGAAGGGAAGGAGCAGGAGGGGAGGAAGAAAAAAGGAGATCCCTATTTCTCCCTTGTGAAGAGAGACAAAAAAGAAGGAAAGAAGGAGACTGACCAATCTTGTAGCCTTGGGTCAGAATTTGTGAGAACTACAGAGACTCTTGGACCCAAGAAATTTTAGACGCTAAGCACTGGTAGCTCACTTCCTTAATTCCGGCATTTGTCAGGCAGAGGCAAGCAGATCTCTGTGAGTTTGAGACCAGCCTGGTCTACAGAACGAGTTCTAGGACAGCCAGGGCTACACAGAGAAATCCTGTCTGTAAGACCCAAAGGGGGGGGGGGGGGGGGGAGAGAGAGAGAGAGAGATTATGTAAGTAAACACATACGCACACACTCATACTGCTTCCCATTTCAGCCCATGGGCCAGAGCAGTGATAATGAGCACAGCAGCAGAGATCTTCCATGATGATGAGCCTTCTTCGCTCTCCTACAAGTGCTCTTGTCTGTCAGTGCTCCCTCAAGTGTATAGTCTAGGACTCCTGGAGGTACCTGTGGCTCACTACCGCTGAGACTCAGCAAGACAGACTGATGGAAGTCATATGAGAGTTAACTGTGCCAAAGCTACACAACAATCTCAGCTTTACAGATTACATAAAGAAATTTTGTTAAAATAGAAACAGACAATTCATTCTAGTATTGTTTTAGAGATAAAAAGTTGATTTTAATAACTATGTAAGGAAAAAACAGAATTCTTTTACTTAGGTATAATACATGGAATCTTTACAAAGTTTATATATGCAATTTAAAACATGTTTTCCAGGCACTTAAATTTTAAGTGCATGTAATTATGTAAGTCTGTAAAACTGGTACTTTAATGGTATTAAATATTAAGATATTTATTTTCCTTTAAAATACCAAATAAATGTCAGTGCAGTTTCATAACAACAAACACTAAAAAATTCTTCATGAAAGACTAACTTACTCTTACTTCTTTGCTTTATTATAGTACACAGTGCCCATCACTCTGCTCCTTCTTCAAGTGCCAGCTTTGTTTTCACATGTTTCTATATTAGAGGCTGATAAGATGACTCAGCACTTGTCATTTCTGAGTTAGGAGCTGGTAAGATGACTCAGCACTTGTCATTCAATCCACAACTAGAATCTCAGAACCCATATAAAACTGGAAAGAAAGAAATAACTCACAGAGCTATCCTCTGACCTTTCCATGTGAGTAGCATATACACACACAAACAATAATAATAATAATAATAATAATAATAAACAGTAATAATAAGACCAGTTATTTAAAAGAAAATCCACTATAAATTAGGGTTGAGATAGGGTATGTATATGGTGTGTGTATGTGTGTGTGCGTGCAAGAAAGCAGGGACACCTTTCAATGAGACAAAAGAAACCTGTTACTTTAATTTTCAAGACATTTAATTAGAATCAGAGCGTGAAATCCCACACATCTAAAAAGACCTCTCAGTGTGACTTTTAAGCAGGTCCTGCTTGTGGGAGATGGTGATGACACCAGCACTCAGCTGGAGGCAGGAGGATCTCTCAGAGTTTGAGGCCAGTCTGCTCAGTGACTGAAAGGACAGCCAGGACTGTGTGTAGAGATCCTATCTGAAAAAACAAAAAATAAAACCAACAGAACAGTTCATATTTAATTTCAAATAATCCAAAGCTCCTATAGTCTTCCTACACAGTGAGAACAGGTGCCATTTTGTGCTGCTGACAATCCTGAATATAAGGTGGGAAATGAAAGGATTCCTTAGCCAGGGTTTCACAAAATATGTGTCCTCATTAATAGTTAAGTCCAAGTGAAAGTTTAAAAACACCTTATTTTACAGGAATATATAAGAATTCTTCTAAATTTCATGCCCTGCCCCAAATATGTCTGATTCTAGGCAGCAACTTCAAAACTTGGTATCATAACCCAAGATGTGACCAGCATGGTGCTGTCTGCTCTTATCTCCTTCATACACGGGTAGAAGATGACTCTCCTGATGCTCAGCTTCGCACCTGTACTCACTCCACCTACAGGGATGATTGAGACTGCGGCAGTGGCTGGATTTGCCAGCAGGAATAAGCAAGAATGCAAGAGTGCTGGAAAGGTAAAGGACAGGCTCTGTTTTCCTCACTAGTCGCATGTTTATAACTTCGTCTCTTAGGAGTCTGCAGAGCGCTGTATACATACCGAAATGCTGGTAGATCAGTGCTGGACGAGGTGTGGGTATATTACAGCAATGTAGTCTAGGACTCAGAACAGAGCTGAGCCAGGTCCTACATGTGTGGCACAAATATGTTAGATACACATTTGCCACCTTTCAGTTGCTCCTCTGAAAAGCAAGGATGACAAAAAAAAATCCATTTACAGATCTGTGTATTACACAAAACAGCATCGTTATAGAAAACACTTAGAATGGCAGCCAGAAGATAGCAAGCATACATAACAGTGTCATCTGCTATTACTCTTACTGTCAAGGGGGATTTTATAATGCCATGATTCCCTATCCTCTATTTACGGAATAATTAAAAGTTTGCAAACAATAATTCTGGGTATTTTATTCCTCAAAATGTACAAGAAATCTAACAGCTACTGAATACAAGACAATGAAATTGATAATACCTAAATACTACCTATCATTTTTTTATAATCAAAGTAAATAATTCATGCAAATATATAGAAAATCCTTTGGCACATTTAAGCATCTCAGGATCTCAGGATCAAAAAAGTGAGCATTATGTCTGAGGTTTAGGAAAACACTGCCATAGAGTAACCATCTGTGTTAAAAGAGGTCATTTGGTGGAAGAACTGCTCATCCGTTCCTCTAGTAGCTAGCAAACCTTACTGTCTTGGGCTTCCTACTCTTGCAATGTGTTTTAATGCTTTGGTTAGGGGGATGACATTTGTTTTGTTTGGGTTGCTTTGTATGCTACAGTCCTTTTTATTGTGACAGAGTTTTAGAAGCTGCAGTGTATTCCAGGCCTTAGGCTTTTTCTCTCTTCCTACTGCTTCAAAGCTGATTGCCATCCTTTGAATATGAAAATAACTTAAATGTCTGTAATGGTCTGTCCTGTCCCTTTAAGAGACAAGTCCCATCCACTGCCCCCCATCTACTGCTGAGGCAGGCAGATCTTCCTGCCTGCCTGCAGCCAGAGTCCTTCTCCTTATCCATCTCTCTTTCAAAGAGGCTGCTTCTGTCTCTCCCTTCCCCCTACTTCTCCTTTTCTCCCCTCTCTGTTTCTCTCTCTCTCTGCTGTTCCCCCTTCCTCCCTTCCCCTGCCATAACCCACTAAATAAATATCTAACTTCACTCTACATGGTGTGTCTATTTATCTCGGTCTCTCAGCTTCCTACCTGGGACCCAGCTGGCTGCCTTCGTGGCCTGCCGTGGTCTTGAGTGCCACTGCCTACCACTGCTTTGGGACCTGGGGCATTTTATTTAAACCATAACAATGTCATCTATAGTCCACATTGTAGTAACTAGAATAGAGCTGCCATAGGATAAAACATCACACACATTCTTAAGTGTAGACAGCTACTTAGAGATCTGGTTTGCCTAACCCTTGGACCTTTCCACATTTCTTACACTAGAAAAAGAAAGAGCGTTGGAATGTCTGCTTGTACTGAATAAACTGAACTACTTAGCAAATATTTGCCTCAGAGACAGTGAAGAGTTGTTTAGCCTTCCATGTATGTTTTTAAAATGGTGATGATTTGAATATTTTCTAAATTATTGAGACACTAATAAGATTTCTTTTCTCATTTTTTTCTGTCATGAGCTTTTGTTATAAATGTGCCCTTTGATAGTTTATTTTTGAGTCATGAGATTAACCCGAGATTGTACAATAAGTAACTGCTGCTAAATTAGGCAATCTGAGTCTGTCCCTATTGCTTTCAGCAAGTCAACTTACCAAAGACCAACTTAGAATATAGACCAGGCCAGCGAGATGCCTCAGTAGGTAAAGGCACTTGCTGCCAAGCCTGATGACCTGGGTTTGATCCTGGAATCCCACACGGTGAAAGGAAAAGAACAGAACCAAAGCTGCCCTCTGCCCTGCCCATTTATGCCCTCCCATACACAAGTGCATATACACAATCAATTAATCTATGTAAATTTAAATTTTTAATAATAAAATATGCTAGCCTTTCTTTTCTTTGCTTATGTAAACTAAAAGAAATCATCAAATGTTTCTCTTTATTCTGATAAAAATGGCTTTATTAGTTTTTCTTAAGACTACAGTATTTCCTGAGGCTTCAGAGGTGGCTCAATGATTAAGAGCTCCTGCTGCTTTTCCAAAGAAACTGAGTTCAGTTCCCAGCACGCACATAGTGACTAACAACTGTCATAATTCCAGCTCCATGGGATCTGTGGGCACCAGGCATGCATATGGTATGCAGATGCAGACATGTAGACAGCAAGACACTCATATACATTTTAAAAAGCTAGCGTATTTTCTAAATTGCAATAGTGATGTTATACTCTAGACTGTGGGAAATAATCACAAAGAGCTTCTTATTAATGTTCCTCTCTTTTTTGCTCTAGAGCAAGACTCCAGCATTCTTTGTCATTTTCTTTGTAAACAACATATGTGAAAAGTGAAGCATTCTTTGAGATTAATAAAGTTAATAAGAATTTGAAACAACTGAACATGTAAACTGAGAGCAGAATCCTAGTACTTTAAAACCATCTAGTCAACTCTGGCAACCCCAAAATGTCCTTCAATAAATGTGAGGTGTGCACCTGGGTGCCCTGTATGGCCGTCTACAGGGGCAGTCTGAAACAAAATGTGGTAACACAAAATCTATCTTTGAAGGTAACCCACTCTCAGATTTACATGGTATTCTAAGCCAGAAGCCTTCCCTTTCCCATTCTGAAACTCATGTCATTACATTCTTTTTTAATACTACATAAACACAAAGAAACATTAGTCATACTTGAATTGCTTTTTTGAGTTTCTAGACTTCAAAATAGAACTAGTTTTGTCTTAGAAAGCATTTTGCAGCCACTTTGTGTGGTGCCTTGTTGGGTTGTTCCCGAGTCCTGTTTGGCTATGATTTACAATTCTGTGATGGGATAATTATTTACTTGACTTGTCTGTTATCTTTTGTAAGGACTGTTTCATAATTTATAAGAAGCCATTTGCATGGGAACATGCCTGCCAATGTTTGATTTCCCCACTGGGGAAACAAATAAAATTAAATTCAGTGAAGACTTAAGGTCCTTAAAATGTATGAATTAAATCTTTTCAAAAGAAATTTCCATCAAGCAATTTTTATCTTATTGGGGTGGGGGTAAGAATAATTGCCAGGAAAAACTTATTGACTGGAAAGACTGTATCCCCAGACAGGAATTCACTACCAAGGAGTTTAACATCACTAATGTTATTTTCATATTTTATTGTGCCACCTTCTAAGATTGCAACCGAAGCTGTGGAGAACATATGTACTGTACTATCTTTAACACGAGAAAATGCCTTTGAACAAATGTACAAGGAGATGCTTCAGACCCGACACAGGTGATGATAGCTCAAGTCTGTCTCCGGCTCTCATCCTGGAATTACACTGCTCAGGGTGACGACCCTTCTGGTGCTTGCTAAGCTATTTCCATGTTACTCTTTCCTAAGAACAGCATATCCTAACTTCTCAAGTGACTTCACCAAGAGAAAATAAGAACATCAAGGGATAACACAACAAAGAAGTGTAGGTCCCCCCATGTGACCATTGGCACAGGGTCAACTTATTTCTGAAAGAACATTGAGGAAATGACATGTGAAAAAAAGAAAAAAAGAAAATGGGATGGCCTCACCTTTTTACACTAAACATCTAAGAGAGTTTACATTTGAACAAATGTGTACATGGTGCTTATTTAACAGGCCCTCCTCATCACACTGCCTCTGGTTCTCTGTGTTACTCTACCAGTGATCATTTGTACTCATTTGCACTGACGTCTGTGGTCTACACCACCTATTAATAGTCACTATGTTCTACTAATGTAAGACCGTGTTGGAAATTAGAAAACACTTCTAAGTACTACTGAGCCACCACTCCTTAGTTCTTACATTAGCTGTTCTTTCATGACACATGTCCACTCATTAGAAAGTAAAGGCTGTGCTGTTACAGTAAACTACCTACAGCTGTAGAGAAAATTGCCTGTCTTCTCTGTGATAACCTTATAATTCTTAGAGAAATGTATATGCACAGAATTAGAGCATTTCAAAGTCCTCTACACTCATCACTCTGTTTACTATATTGACCTTCTATCATCCACGTTCCATAATTTGGTATTTGTGTGTTTCAGAAATGTCTTGAAGAGAGCACACATCACTGGAAGCTGTTATGCGGTCGGCCACGCTTTTGTGTATTTCGCCCACTCAGCAGGATTTCCCTTTGAAGCCTCTTTGATTCGAGCTGGACAGATGACACCAGAAGGCATGTTCACGTGAGTTGTGCAAATATTTAAACCCTGTACGTGTGTTATGCACACATGCATGTCTAGCTTAGGGAGGAGTCTCATCTAGTTCCCCTGTGGAAAAGGCTTTCTAAAACATTTAAGTGTATGCATAGTATGTGTGTTGTTTTATTTTTAATTGACAAGTAACATTTGTGTTTATTTAAAGGGTGAGCTGTGATAGTTTTGCTTTGACAGGCGTCTCCATTGTACAATGATTAAGTCAGGTTGTTTTTGTTGGTGCTGTGTAATGATAAGAAACACTGCATGACTGTACCTGTTGCACTAATGTTGAACCGTGCACTGTATTATATACTGATGCAATGCAAAGGATCTGTGGTAAACTCCCAAGTAACTTGCTCCCAGGTTTAGCTCACTCCAATGTGGGTTACAGCAGCAAATCTGGTTTCTTGGTGTCCTGGGGAACTCAGAGACTACACGGAGTTTCCCCGGGAGGAGATGGCTTTCATCAGTATGAACCCAAGTCAGCGCTTATACACACATGTCTCATCACAAATTGGCCACTGCCTTGTTGCAGCTTCCTCCCAAAGTGGCTTGTACTCTCAGGGCCTGTTTAAACCATGAAGACTTTCTCCACTCGATAAAAACATCTAACTACTGCAATCGAAAAGATTTTGAGTGTTTTTTTCAGCTGCCTGAGTCTAAAATGCCAGAAATGTTGCTGTTTATATCACAGTTCTCATTGTTAGACACTTACAAGTACAAAAAAATCTATAATTTTTTAAACTAACCCCCTGTGCCCTGCACATTAAACCTAGGCGCTGTTCCTAATGATAATGACTTTGTTCTGCACCCAGGGTATTCAGGAAGCCCTGGGGCTCCTCCTTGACTCCCACAGCTCTTGACCCTCCCCGGAACTTCACCATGGCTGGGAAGTAATTGTAATTTGAGGATATGTTCAATCAAAAGAAATGATCAAAACTCATTTGAAGTCATGTGGTTTCAGATAACTTTTATTTTCTACTCTCACAAAAACATCTTTATTTGTAACTATCCTAGGACATTCTTGTCTAATCACTGGTAAGAAACATTTTTCAAGTCACCAAATCAGCATTCCCAAATCTTACCAGTTAGCAGTAAAGGCAGGTTCACAAGGAACCGCGTTTCACAAGGAACCGCTGTTCACTGTTGCCTAGGGGCAAGGCTCCTCTCAAACAAGTCTCTGTATTGAAAACTCCAACAGAGCCGGGTGGGGTAGTGGGGGAGGATGGCACACCACTGCTGGTGGCACATGCCTTTAGTCCCAGCCCTCAGGAGGCAGAAGCAGGTAGATCTCTGTGAGTTTGATATCAGCCTTGTCTACAAAGTGAATTCCTATCATGAAAAAAGAAACAGAAACGTTTAGGGTCCGTGTTCCATTTTCCTCTCTCTTACATGTGGAGTGCTGTCTGTGTAAATCCGTAAAAATATAGTTCAGGTGTTTGCCTGTTTGACTAGTTTGCCAGATTAACAAGAAACAAACCCAGAATCACGTGGATTAATTTATACAATTCACAGGCCTCATTGAACTAGTCCTTTGCTTTGGTTCTGATATCATGTGGCCACTCCCAGGATTAACCGTACATTGTCTTCCGAAAGTTCGATTACAGGAAACTTAGAAGGTGCTGTCCTCTTGGCGCTCTCTCCTCAGCTCCTGTACGTACCCAGAGCCCTGCGCTGTTAGGGTGTCTGATGTTAGCTGCTAGAGCAGTGGAGGTCGGCCTGCCATATTACACAGCAGACATTTCATCTTTGCCGCCTGTTTTTTGTCACTACTCTTTCTTTGCTTTTTGTTATGCTTTGTGATTTTCTTTCATCTTTAAAATTAACCCTTGTATCACATTTCATACCCCCATCACACACAATCATAACACATAAAATAAATGATAATAAAAGCATACTTTTCACCAATAAAACATGAGTATATTTTCAAGGTTTACAATTAAAGGTGCAGATAAGCAGTCTCTTCCAGAAGGGGCAGCGTGCTTAGAAAAGGAGGTGAGCAGAGGGTCCACAGCACAATCTCCTCATGCAATCCTAGTCTGTGGCTGTGGCTGAGGGGAAAGGTCTCTTTACATAAAGGGGAGCATGCATGCCTTGTGACAAAAGCTGACTAGTGTCATCCCCACAATCAGAGAGCTTTCCCTAAAATGAGCATTTAAACAAGATCATAGCATCTTTATTCTGTTGACTTTTGGTTAGGAGTTAAGGATTGGCCTCATACTCAGAAGGTAGTAAAACATCCCTCTCTGTTAGCTTGGCCAGGCACAGTTGATTATTTCACTATTAACGCACAGTTTGGGGAATACAAACTAAGCTTAGTTTTCCCTGTCTCATTCTTCATTAATAAAGTAGGTATCCTACCAAAAGCCTGTAATCCTAGAACTTGGAAAACTAAGGCAGGAGGATTGCAGGTTGGAAGCCAACCTAGGTATGTAGTGAGGTCAAGGCCAGCATGAACTACATAACAAGACTCTGTCCAAAAGCAAAAATGAAAGGTTTGCCATTAATGCCACTAGGCAAAGTCCTAGCTGAGGTGCCTTCAGAATACCAACCGGATACCTCTGGTGACCCGCAGAGGCTTCTGGACCTTCCCACCACAACCACTTCAGGTTTTCTTCTGTTTGTGAGTCACCTCCATCTTTATGGTATGCATAGACAATGCTAACTAAGCACTGCATGTAAGCAAGAGGAAAGAAATCAGTACAGGGCATTGTAGTAATCATAAAGGCTCTGTGTGTGTGTATGTGTGTGTATTGTGTGTACGTGATGTGTGTGTATGTGTGTATGTGATGTGTGTGTATGTATGTATGCGTATAAGTGTGTGTATGTGTGTATGTGATGTGTGTATGCGTATAAGTGTGTGAATGTGTATATGTGATGTGTGTATGTGTGTATATGATATGTGTATGTGTGTGTATGTATGTATATATGTGTGTCTGTATGTATGTGTGTGTTTGTGTGTATGCATATGTATGTATGTATATGATGTGTGTATATGTGTGTCTGTATGTATGTGTGTGTTTGTGTGTGTATGTATGTGTATGTGTGTATATGATGTGTGTATGTGTGTATGTGTGTGTTTGTGTATGTTACTTGTTCTTCAAAATCTAAAAACAGTTCTCAACAGAAAGTTAGTCTGGACTTTGAATATTAAATGTAGCAATCAGAACTATAACAACATAGCTTCATTTTTAATGATATTAACGGCTAACTGAGACTTCAAAACACCAAGGGCTAGAAAGAAGTTCATTAGGCTTTTACATCCATCTTTGCATACAAGAACTGATCCTTGAAATTCAGATGGTCACCTTAGTTAGCACACAGGAAAGATTTTTTTTGGCTTGGGCCCTGCATGACAGTGGCCCTCTTCTGCTGGCTCCTCCATAGGCAGCATCTGGAAGAAAAGGCACATAAACCGTTTAGATTAACAGAGAAGGCATCTATAAAGAGAAGTCAAAATAGAGAGGACATCCAGGCCTCTGCAGATGCCAGGACAGGGCTGAAGACTAATGAATCAAAACATGAGGCAGACACCACGCTCAGCACCGGAAAGCACGGCACATGAGAGAAACATGGTCGGCAGGAGGCCTGCTCACATGGAAATCTGTGTGATCCTGGGCCAGCTGCATCATTTCACAGGCTGGAGTTTCCTAATTTGTGCAGTGGGAAGTTCCTGGCCTAATTACCTCCTAGGTGGTCAGATCGTATCATGAACTTGAAAACTTTCCCAAGCTCCGGAATACAAAGTCAATCTCGGTGGCTTGCAGTGTTCCTCCATCCATCATGGAAGGATGTGAAGTGGGAGGAGAGGACCACTGGGTTCAATCTGGATGAAGGGGAAAGAGTTTGAGCCAGGGAAAGTCTCTCAATGAGCACATCCAGGATGACAGCTCCTGTACGTTCCACCCGAAGAGGACCTTACACTCCAGGGTATCGACTGCTGTGATGACAATTGCTGTGTACGGGATTTCTCCAAAAGGATGGAAGCTCATTTCCCAGCAGAGTGTCCCAGTAGTTCTTCATTCCATGAGAGGAACAGCACACAAATTCCTTTGTTAACACTTCCAGGTATCATATATCATTTATGCATTTAATTCTGACAACCACCATGCAACATAGACATGCTTGGCTCCTGCTTACAATTAAGAGTCAGATTCGAAAAGAAATCCAGTCACACCTGCAAGGCAAATACCATCAATTTAGATGTGATACTGGGAACCCAGCTTAGGAACACAAACTGGAGCTGGGCTCAGGAGAGACACCATGATTAAGCTCAGCGAATATGCTGGTCACTCCCATTTGGATCCTTTTTGTTAAAATTGGAACCACTCATGCCTGTGTTTTAGGGGATTGTTTCTATTGAAAGAAACTTTGTAAATTCTGTTTTTATCTTAACAGTTACAATAGGTATTGGTGTTTCACAGTGTTCATATGTGCTCAGAAGGACCAGTGGATGAGAGGATGCAGTGTTGTCCATGTTAGAGAACTAAGGTAGAAGGAATAGCCCCTCGGAGTGCTAGGCTGCTCCTTCCTAACTCCCTCCTCACCTTTCTCCCTCACGCTATCCAACCCAAAAGGTTTCAGGATGGATTGAGTGTCATATGCTGTGTTAAGATTTCTTCCCAAAAACAAGACAGGCATATGAAAACTATGAAGTCAAAGAATATATGAAAATGTCATGATGAACTTCATGACTTTGTATGCCAGTCAAAAACTAATTTTAAAAGAGAAAACTGGCTGAGAAGGAAGCTTCATGCATAGAGCATGTAGTTCCTAGCGCCATAGTGAATTCAGTTCAAGTTCAGCCTGGGCGACATACACTGGAAACTTGTTTGAGTCTTCTTTAATTCCTTCTTTACGTATTTGTGTCAACAAAAAAACTCTGTTATGACCTGTAGTATGCTTCTTGCTTAATGGAATTAATTAATGTTCTTTAGTAACTAAATATGTTAGTACATCTCACCATTCTTGTGGCTCATCTTTGTGTGAGCTGAGCCCAGATTGAAAGTGCATTTCTCTGGGTAGCCCTCCATCCAGATGCCCCAGGACTTTGGGCAGGATTTGAAGGAGCTTGTTTACTGTATTGTGGAGTTCAGCCCTGGTTGCCCTACATAAATGCCTGTTGAGTTACACAGGCTTGAGTTTAGCTCACTGCTAGGTGAGTCAGTCTAGGCAAATCCAATAACAATCCAGATGTTTAGGCATGTGGACACTGACCTAGCTTTATACAGACACAAATGGGGGAAATCAAGAAGATTGATGTCCCTGGCTTAACCCTTAGGTATCCCATCACCACAGAACTCACACTCTCCATCTAGGTACCTCAGGATAAAGCCTGCCAGTCCTAGCTCCCCTCATACAATGAGAAAGCATGGTATTAGGGCTTTCTGTCTTGGGACTTCTTGCTCTATTCACCTTTCTTCTGGTCATTGCCCTTCCCCAAGAACAAGGCCTTAAAAGAAACCCCTTCTGAGTAGTAACACTTGCATTCTAAAGAGGGACCTGGCACACACACAAACTTCAGGGTATCTGTGTCTAATGCTTAAAATGACTCAAAGAGTGGAAACTTTGGGATGGATGGGTATTAGGGCACATAGTAAACCTCACTGTGGTGGGTTTTAGTAAGAATGACCCAGATAGGCTCCTATATTTGAGTGTTTCGTCACCAGGGAGTGGGACTTTTTGAAACATTAGGATAAAGAAGTGTGACTTTGTTGGAGGAAGTGTGTCACTTGGGATGGGCCTGAGGACCAAGATGGAGAACTCTCAGCTACTTTTCCAGTACCATGTCTGCCTGTGTGCCACCATGCTCCCTACCTTGATAATAATGCACCAAGCCTCTGAAACTGCAAGCCAGTCTCCAATTAAATTCTTTCTTTTATAAGAATTGCCTTGAAGCTGGGCATGGTGGTGCACAACTTTAATCCTAGGCAGAGACAGGCAGATCTCTGTGAGTTCAAGGCCAGCATGGTCTACAAAGCAAGTTCCAGAACAGCGAAGACTATACAGAGAAGCCCTGTCTGCCTTGATCATGTTGTCTCTTCACAGCATACAACAGTGACTAAGACACACGCCAGGCTGGTTCCCAGCCCCTGTACATTTAGGGCCCATGTCAGCACACTCCTAGTGCCACTCTCTTCCCACCTCACTTGTTAAATCCTGACTTCAGTTTGATCCAGCCTGACACTTGCTTGCACTTAAAACAAATACACCTGGGCACAGAGACACACATCTGTAACCCCAATGCTCAGTAGACTGAGGAGGAGGATCCCAAGTTCAAGACAGTCCTGGCCTGTACAGTAATTTCAAGAATACCTTAAGTGACATAAATTATATTGTATCAAATAACAACAATCAGGCATGTTTAACATGCTACCTAAATTCGACAAGACTTCTTGTTACACTTTATATTTAGTTTCTAAATGGCATTATGAATCATAAAAATTTCTTTAAAAAGTGAAAAAACATTTGGTATCTCAAAACTATTGACAACAGTGGTTTTAGCAACAGATACTCTGTAAACTGGTTGTTTTTATATGTCCTGTTTCTTTGTACAAGTAACAGGATTTGGGGTCTAAGGTCAAGGTCGCTAAAGAGATTACAGCTCCCACCCTTCGGGAGGTCACACAGTGGAAAGGGTGACATTCAAGAAGAATCCAGACATACTTGGTTTTTTGGTTTGGATTTTGACACAAGGTGTCTCTCTACATAGTCCTTGCTGGCCAAGAGCTTGCAATGTAGACCAGCCTGGCCTTGAACTCACAAAGATCTGCTTGTCTCTGCCTCTTGAGTGCTAGGATTAAAGGAGGCACTACCCTGCCAAACCTCCAAGATAGGTCTGTGATGGATCAAAGCAAGCCAGCAGCTGGGTTCCCCATGCCCTTTGGCCTGGTGTTTAAATGTTGCTAGTGAACTGTGTCCAGTTGTAATTGAATTGTTTTTTATTTTTACATCTAAAATGAAACAGAAAAATAATAGGAAAACATTTAGCCACATGTTAGATCACAATTCCAAGACCGTTGGCCTATTTGCCAGGTTCTAATGAACACGTGTCGAAACAGATCAGAATCTACAACAAACTCCAAGATCACACAGCTCCTCCTTCAGGCTTGGTTGAAGTGTCCTTTGGTCACCACAGAAAGGGGAAGAAAGTGCAAGTCCATACTTTGCTCTCTAAACAGTTTATCTCTAAGGCAGAGGATTAATCTAAGCCCAGCTTCAGTCACCTGTGTAACTACATTGCATGCAAACAAAGAAGGGCCCTGCCTCAGACCTCACCACCAGGGACACATTCTCCCTATTGTCAGTGCATTCTCTGCCAAATCTCCCAACAGGCACACCTTTTATCAGAGTGGCTGAAAGGTTTCACGTTCACTGATTGGAATCTTTGATAACTAATCAAAAGAGGAATTTTTGAGATAACTCAAATTCAAAGGTTGTTTTGCCCTACAGAGCACCTGGCAGAGAGCTCCAACGAGAAGCCATTGTTGAGCCTTCAGCGTCAGGAATGCTATCTGCCTTCTGTCCACTCTTCCTTTTCTCCCAAGTTCTGTTGATGTCTTATCTAGCCATTGGAGAAACACTTGTTTGGACTCCAGAATATTCAAACGCCAAAGTTGAAGCTGCACATCTGTTTGCTTTGCTGAAAAAGAAACCAACTATGGACAGCTGCAGTCAAGCGGGGAGAAAACTAGTAAGTGCAACTAGAGTTTACACGTTCACTTTCTTAGTATGAGTATTGCTGACATAGAATATTCTAAGATCAGGTGCCAGAAGTTTGTATGGACAAATTTTAGCACTACAAAGGAGAAAGAACGCCCCTAGAATGGATTCTCTCTCACTTCTACTCTTAAAGTATATATTATGTTAAAAGAAATCTTTAGCCCTATGCCATGGAATGTTCTATGAGAGATTGATTACTAAGTCAAAATATATTTAGAGCAATGGTTTTGGTCTTGCATGTTTGCATGAATGTTGGCTAAATTTCAATTTTTTCTCTAATCACATCTGCAAGGTAATAATGCTTTTATGTCAAACATAAGTTTTCATGGGAAATATATTTACATAAGAGGGAAAAAAGCAACTGAATATTTATTAAATTGTATACATAAGTTTAACTGCAAACATCAAGAGACCATGAGTATTGAAAAATAAGCATCAGAGAGCTAAATATTTTGGAGCTAGATGCATTGCTTTTTTTGTGGAGGCAATGTGGGGATTTGAGACAAGGTTTCTCAGTGTAGCTTTGGAGCCTGTCCTGGAACTCGCTCTGTAGATCAGGCTGGCCTCAAACTCAACAGAGATCTGCCTGCATCTGCCTCCTGAGTGCTGGAACTAAAGAGGTGCACCACACCTACCCAACATTAAGCATATTTCGTGTATATTTGTTTGCTTGTGTTTGAGACAGGATCTCACATCTGTTGTGCAAGCTGGCCTCACACTCATTACGTAACTAAAAGTTATCTTTGAGCTTCTGATCCTTCCACACCCACCTGCCAAACACTAGGGACACAAAAATGTGACCCAGCACACATAGAACTGGGGACCTAACCCAGGGCTTCTTGAATGCTAAGCAAGTGTTCCTCCACAGAGCCCCCTTCCCAGTCAAACATCCTTTGTGCTTTTCCTCCTAGGTTCAGAATACAACACATGATGATTAACCTGACTAGGGAGAAGGGATTTGTCTGAAAATCCAGCCTTAGTCTATGTCTGCCTTGATAGCAAAAGCCAAACATACTTCAATAAAATTAGAGTGTGTTATTCCATGGTAGAGTATGTGTTTAGCATGTATATAGATCTGACCTTGATCTCCAGAAACACACACACGGGAAGGGAGAGGGGAAAGAAGAGAACAAGAAGGGAAAAGGAGGGGAGGAAAGAGAGAGAAAGGCTTAACACAAACAACGTAAAAACCGGAGCAAAAATAAATTAAAAAAAAAACAGTTAATATACTCTACTTATAGTTCTGGAAAGTTTTTAAAGAATATCATTGGCAGAGAAAAGTATTAGTTTACATAAAAATCACCAATGACTAAAGAGTTTGAAAAAAACAGAGAATACTAAACTTTTATCTGAGTATTACTGCCAAATAATGATCAACTAAATATATAGATCAGAGTTCAAAGCATAGCATATATTAACTATAAAACATAGTCAAGTTTTCAAAATAAAAGGTACGCACAGAGTTGATATGGCCTGGCATTTCTGAGTTAAGCAGTAAAGGGTTTTCAAATATATAATAAATTTAATAAAAGAAGAAGTTTAGTTAGAAAAGCTGGTCAGCTAGTCAACAGACCTGGCAACTGAAGGAACCTATGATTTGGGGGAAGGTAGTCCACCACTGACAGCAGTGAGAACCACACGCATAAAACACAGATGCTGTTGAGGTCCAGCCATCGGGTAGCAGCTCTCTGGAGACAATGAGTTTAAAGTGGAAATGGTGTGGAAACAAGTACAGTTTATCGGCAGTACTTACTCAGGGCATGGCCATGGGGTGCAACCTTCCAGAGTCCCCTGTAAATATCTCCTCCTTTCGTAGGACACCTGCAAAGGGAATTTAGAATTTCAAGAAGTCTCTTTCTTCTATCCATGTCGCCCTGAAGTTCCCATCCTCCGTGACCTGTCCCTCATCAGCATTAAGAAAGGGAAGACTGTGGCATTTGGTAGAAGCAGTGGCTGTGGAAAAAGCACTTGTGTTCAACTGCTGTAAAGATTTTATGACCCCATGAAAGGACAAGTGGTAAGATGGACTTAAATTACCTAAGCTGAGGGATAGTGATAAACCTTTAAATGTGCAGGGAAGTCTAGGTTTACCCAGTAGACAAACACAAAACCTAAAAAACAAACAAACAAACAAAACTTCTGCTCTGCTCTTGGCAAAGAAAACATCAGGTCCAGATCCAAACTAGCGGGGAGGACTTTGAAATTAAGTACAAATGACCCACGGTGTCTTGAGCTTTCCTGACAACCATGATTTTTACCTTAGAAGCTGTGGGATTCTTTTGGAATATGGGTGTGAAGGAAAGCCAGGTTTTCTTCATACAGTATCACTGCTCCCTACCCCTTCTGGCTTAAGACTGATAATGGTTTCCACCCCTTGGATGATCTCACTGGCCTTGATTCCCCCATCTATCAAGACCTGTTGCAAGGCTAAGGCATTTTCCAATTAATCTCCACTAAGCTGAGAGTCCTGATCTCAAAAAGAAATGATTTCCTCCTCCTTTGAACCCGACGATTACCTTCTTTACCTTGTTTGTGTCTACTGGATCTTGTGTGCCCGTGTTCCAGTCCCTGTTACTGTCTCTCACCACTATTGCATCTCCCCCACCCTCCTCCCCTTCTCATACACACAACGTTTATTCCCTCAGAGAGTTATAGTTCAGGCTGTCATGCTAGTCCTATCCTCCTATAATCTGCAGTCTTTCCCCATTATGGATTATCAACAAACATTTGGAAAGCAGAGCAGTACATAAAACTCCCTTGAACTAGGTGGCGTCTAGTGTAACATATACACTCTCCCTGCTTGAAACCATTGGAGGATGATTCCCCGCTAAGCAAAAGCAAGATTTAACACCATGAAAGTCCTTCACTGTCTGGCCCCTACCTCCTTTTCCAAACTTCCTCTCCTCATGCCTCTCACTGAGTGCTGAATATCCATCTCCCCAACTTCTGTCTTCTTCCTTACTGCGGTTCCCCTCACCTACTCACTGTATCTCAAGTGCTGCCTGTGTCTCATCTCAAAGTCACTTTCCATGGCCATCCTAAACATCTTCTGCCTCAGTCTATCTCTGTCCGATTACCCTGTCTTCATATCACCTTCCCTTTCTGAGTTGTTGGTGTAATTAATGGCTGTCGGCTAGAATATATACTATCATGGTCACAGGGAGTTTTGCACTGTATTACTTCCTCAGTGCCCAGAGTCCTGGGCACACAGAAGGCATGTTCATCAACAGCTGACTGTGGGAGTGTGCCCATCTCTACAGGTGGACTTGCTTATCAACGTGTGCCAACTCTCTTATTAGACATCAGTAATGGAGTGTTGCTATACCCAAGGGGGAGGTTAATCATTTTTTATTTTACTTCAAGACAGAGGACTAGATAAACTCCAATCTCTGTGGTCATTTCTAGAAGTGTATGTTTGGAATCAACCTTTCAATGAGCTGGCAGCTGAGCGCTGCTGGCCAGCGGGTGATTTATGAACCATCCTTTGGCAATGTACACTTCGCAAAATAGTTTGAATTCCTAGGCTTCTAGTTATTATGTGTTTATGTGTGAATACCATGAAGTGTAATATGACACGGCTGCTGAATCTTACCAAACTAGTCTCCAGTCTCTTCCTGCAGCTGCTTGATGGTGTTGATGTAAGGGAACTGAACGTGCAGTGGCTGCGTTCCCAGACAGCCGTTGTCTCCCAGGAGCCTGTGCTCTTCAACTGCAGCATCGCTGAGAACATCGCCTATGGTGATAGAAGCCGCATGGTGCCCTTAGAGGAAATCAAAGAAGTCGCAGATGCAGCCAACATCCATTCCTTCATAGAAGGCATCCCCAGGGTAAGAAAACAGATGAAATCCTGAGCCACAAAGCTGCTGAGTTCTTATTTGATGTACAAGGTTAGATGTAAAAAGCAAACCTGACAATTTCATGTATTTTTTTTCCATGTCTGATAGCCACACATATTAATGTGCTGGGCTTTCACATGTTACGTCATTCTGTGCTGCACTCTGCCTCGGGTGATGGTAGGAACTAAAAGACATGGTGTCTCTCTGAACTTTACTGTGTTTCCTTCAGATAGAGTGTGTGTGTGTTTCATGGAGAGGGCCCGCTTGTTCGTCCCAGCCGCCCAGCTAGTTCACACCCGAAATAACCACACAGAAATTGTATTAATTTAAACATTGCTTGGCCATTATCTCTAACTTTTTATTGGCTAATTCTTACATATTAGTTTAACCCATCTCCATTAATCTCTGTATCGCCACATGGCTGTGGATTACTGGCAAGATTCTAACCGGCGCCTCTGAGACAGAGGATCCATGGCTTCTCCTGACTCAGCTTTCTTCCTCCCAGCATTCAGTTCTGTTTTCTCCGCCTACCTATGTTCTATCCTATCAACTAGGCCAAGGAAGTTTCTTTATTCATTAACTAATGAAAGCAACACACAAACAGAAGGAACTCCTACACCGTGTGTGTGTGTGTGTGTGTGTGTGTGTGTGTGTGTGTGTGTGTTTCAAGATAGCATTTTTCTGTGTAGCCCTGGTTGTGCTGGATCAGGCTGGCCTCAAACCCACAGAGATCTGCCTGCATCTGCCTCCCAGAAACTGGAATTAAAGGTGGGCACCACTACCAGAAGCTTTTTTTTTTTTTTAAAGCAGGATCTCACTATGTGGTTCTAGCTGACCTGGATCTAACTATGTAGATCAGACTGGCCTGGAACTCGCAAAGATCTACCTGCCTCTGCCTCAAAAGTGCAGAAATTAAAGGTATGTGGCACCTCTCCTGGCCAAGAATAGATTTTCTAAAGCAAACAAACTATCTCAACATCTGTCTAAATATAAGACCTCAGTATCAATGTAAAACTCTGAAAGACAAGGCTAGTTTTTCTGGAAATCCTCACTATGACAAAGCTCCACATACAGCAGGCACTGCACTCTTCCCAGACAGCTAGATTCTAGCGATCTTATTCCTTCAGGAACTAGTTAGCCATTTTAATGGTTGCCATCTTATCAGTTTCTGAGGACTTATTTTACCTTTCTTTCAAATGCCTGTACTCACCTGTCTGCCATGTCCTCATAGCTCAAAACCTGTACTTCCTTTCCTCGTCCCTACACAAACAGCTTGGAATTAATTTTATTACTCAACACGCAGCTACTCAGCCTGACTCTTTGCAAAGCACTGAGCTTGTGGAAGATGACTGACAACCAGAGTGCAGTCCTACACATACAGAAATCACTGAAACTCACAAAGAACCCTCTTTGCTGTGAGCCCATGGATATGATCTGAGCAAAGGGATGGCGACAGAGACGACTGATGTGGTCCCCAGTGTGGGGACTCACACTTGGAATCCCAGAACTCACCAAGACAGTGTACATCAAAAAGGTCATAAGTAAGAATGGATCTAGATAAGGGGTTGGACTAGGGAAAAGAAGATACACAAGTGTAGCATTTAAGAGTGTGTGGCGGTGTGATGGAACACTTAAATAGCAAGTCTGGTTCCTTCAGCTTCTGTAAATACCCTGAAGAAAGCTTTAAGGTAGAAAGGATTTGTTGGCTCTCAGTTCCAGGTTACAGCCCACCACCTTGGGGAAGTCAAGGCCAAAGGAATCTATCTGAACAGTGAAGAGTAGAAAACAAAGAATGTGTCCAAGGTGCTCAAGTCCCTCTGTCTACTCACATAACAGGCCCCCCTTCCTAGGGAGGCTGCCACCCACAGTGGGTTTGTCTTCCCACCTCAGTTAAAATAGCAAGATAACCCAAAGACACACCCACAAGCCACCCTGATCTAAACAATCCCTCACTGGGACTCCTTTCCCACGTGTTGTCTAGATTAGTGGGTAATCAAGACTAACCGTCCAGCAAGCAAAGGAATTTTACCCTTAATAGTTGCTAAGACTTCCTGAAGGCTTGTGTATAGGAATGATTAGATCTGGATAATTACTCATTCAGTGGCAATGTAAGTGATGACATGGAGTGACAGAGACAGGGAGTTAGGAGAACCTCCAGTTCCAGGGAATCTGACGTACTCTTCTGACCTTCAAGAACACTGCACAGTGTGGTTTACAGACACACAGGCAGGCACAACACCATAAACATTAATTAATTAATTAACTAAAATTAAAGAGATAGGGAAGCAGTAGAAAGCTAGTCTTCTGCTTGCTTTTCCAGGAATTCATAGAGCATTATGGGAGTGGGTGTGGTCCTATATATGATAATCCTAGCATTGGGAGGTAGAGGGAGGGGCACTAAAGAGCAGTCTCAACTACACAACAAGTTTAAGACTGACTTCCTCGAGGCCCTGGCTCAAAAAGAGAAAAAGCAGAAGAACGAGAACGGCCCCTGGTGAGGACAGATGTTCGTGTTGAAGCAGTGGTAGGAACACTGTGGATACACTGAGAGGGGTGGAAAGTGATCCTGAGCATCCGGTGTGGGCGGGACACAAATGTCAGCCTCTCTGACTTGCAGAAGACACATACCCAGGAAGGGCTGCATCCTGCCATCTGCGGACATGCTCGTAGAGGAAACCTCATGCTTTGCCTGGTAGTTTTAAATATTTTGGACTTTTTTCCTCTTGTGCTTTAATTCTGAGGTTTCCGTTGTCAGAACTTGAGCTGGAGCTCACTTGGTAATCTGCTTGCCTAGGATGCAATGTCCTGGGTTCAATCGCCAGTACCACATAAACGGAGAATGTTTTCAAGGCTTCTAATCCCAATACTCAAGAGGTGATAAAGGAGGGTCAGAAGATCAGGACAATCATTGGCTACATGGAGACTTCAAGGCCAGCCTGCTTGTGTGAGACTCTATCTCAATAATGAAAATGAAAGAAAGGAAAGGAAGAGAGGAGAGACTAGAGAGGAAGTCAGAAAGTTCCTTTAGAGAAGTCTAACAGCAAAGGTTTGTTTCTGGGGATCAGGTCAGGGGTGCAGAAAGAACCTAGAATAGATTTCAGCTGTTGTTGGGACTCCCCTTTTCAAGAGTAGAGAAATCTGAACTGCTTAAATGTCTGTCTCCCACAGTTGCTAAAGTGCTTTATTTGTTAATGGCATGTTCCTGAGACAGAAATACAACACTCAGGTTGGACTGAGAGAGTGCAGTTCTCTGGGAGCCAGAAACAAAGACTGGCTATTGCAAGGGCTCTTCTCCGAAAGCCAAAAATTTTACTTCAGCCCTTGACATTGAGAGCGAGAAGGTACCACCTTCTTTTGTCTTTTCATGTCAAATGGGAGTGGGCAATATCATGAAGACCAAGGTCAGTTTGGGTAAATGAAGTCCCAGAGATGGCAGAGAGAGGGTTGAAGCCAAGCAACCAGGTTCTGAAGAGGCTTTCTCCTCTGAATCTCTCTCCTATCAAAATGGGTTTAAATCTGAATGTCCAGTCAAGAAAATTCAAGGAAGATGTCCTCTTTCAGTTACTTCTTCTCAATTGGTACGAAACCAACTAGTCTGTGTCTGAAGCAAGAAACTGCTCTAGAGAGACCATTCTGCTTATCCTACTGTCCCACATTTTCTGTGGTGAGAACAAAACAAGGTGGCGAAGAGGCACAGGTATGGAAATCCTGCCATTGAGCTTTGGACCATCTCCTTACCTATATAACCATTCCAATTACACCTGCTGTCATAATGCTCTTCGAACCCAGTCCTCTTCTGAGTACTTTTTCTCCATTTAATTGGGTGGCTTATAGTCCATCGTTTTAGTGGGCCATGGCAGCATACAGGCAGACATGGTGCTGAAGAAGGAGCTGAGTTTTACATCTTGATAAGCAGACAACTGGAAGTGGTCTGTCTTTTTGGGTGCGGCTTGAGCATGCATGAGACCTCAAAGTCCACCTTCAATGATAGCACACCTACTCCAACAAGGCCACACTTCCTAACGGTGCTGCTAGGCTTTCTGAGCCTCCTTATTTCCCAGGGAAATGTGAGTGTGCTATCTGCCCATGCCTGCAGCCCCACAATGCAGGACAATCAGATGCAATAGGGAGTGGAGTCAAAGCAGGAACTCAGTCTATTACTGTGAGTGTCTGCTTATAAAGGTTAAGGGACACTCTGTGATGTAAGGGTGCCTCCAGCCTATGAGAGGCAGCCATACCCTCCCCTGGCTAGAGGAATGTCTACCTAGTTTTTGCTGTCTCATCCTCACTCAAACTCGAGCCAGGCTTTTCTTGGCCCTACAGGCCTCAGAGTATAGGCCCTGAACTTGAGCCAGGCTTTTTTCTGTCTCATGGGCCTCCAAGGTACAGGCTCTGAGATAATTTTGGCCCTACATAGCGCCACTGCCTTAGGAGCCCATTTTCTTTCAAACCACCACATTTTGACATTTCCTCTGAGAATAAGCAAGTGCAACAAAAAATATCATTAGATTACCTTAATGGCTGAGCTTAGGCATACTTATGAACATCTGCTCCAAACTGGCAGTCACTTGGTCCTTTTCTTTTCCAGGTGGTTCAGCATGCCCTTGAAAAAGCCCGGAGAGGGAGGACCTGCCTAGTGGTGGCTCACAGACTCTCCACAGTACAGAATGCAGATCTGATCATAGTTCTACAAAATGGAAAAATCAAAGAGCAGGGAACGCATGAGGAGCTCCTGAGAGACAGAGACACATACTTTGGATTAGTAGCTGCACAGGGTATGCACAGAAGTTACCAGCCTTGCATGCATTTTGATCTTTATGTAATGTAAAGAGTACTTAGTAATACTTGGTCTGCTCTGGTCTCTCACTGCAAATGTCTATGCCTAGAATCCTGACACTCTTGTACATGACTGTTCTGTTCAAGTGTCTCTCCAGATTATGAAAAGCAAATCAGGGAGGTTGGAGAGATGGCTCAGTGGTTTAGAGCACTGGCTGTTCTTTTGGAGGAAGTTGATGCTGGGGGTGGATTCCCAGCCTTCACATGATGGGCTCACAAGCACCACCACTTCAGTTCCAGAGTATCCACTCGACTTCTGGCCTCTGTGGGTACCAGACATGTGCGTGAGGCACATCAACATGTGCAGACAAAACACTATATACATAAAATAAAATTTAAAATTAGAAAAAAGACAGACTGAGTTTACAAAGTTGACCTGGAAAAGGTACCTCTATCTCTCATTTCATAAAAATATCCTAACACATTTTCTTGTAAACAGTTTTATGCAGAATATGAGCATTTCTGTGGCAAAGTTTTGTGATGAAATTGGGGAGAACATCATCTAGTTGAAAGAGTTTAGCTGAAAGATAGGATGCAGCTGGTTAGTCCTGGGGGACTGCTGCATCTTTCCTCGGGAAGTCTGAGCTTTGTAGCATGTCAGCATACTGTTTGTGTCTCCCTTTGCCCTGGCCTGTAACAGCCCCTCAGTGGGCAGGGGTGGGGAGTTAAAGAGCTGTACAGGAAAGATGGCTCAAGCTGTCCCAGGTAATACAGACTTCATACAGTCCTTCCTAAAGATTCCCTTCCAAACTTTGGGTGTTGGCTTACTGAAGTGTGAATACTTACTTAAAATAAAAGGTACTTCTACTATGGGTGAGAAATTAAAATGCTTTTCTGTATTGTTATCAAACAGCTTATTTAAATCTATATGTACTTAATAATATGTAGCATATGATTTATAAATTCTATATAAATGGCAATATCAGTTAACTGAGTCATGTTTTCCACTTAAATACATAAGGACATCTTTACTTCCTCTCTTTCTAAAGGTTTTTAGGACATATTAGTTATATGTAGTAATGGATTTCCTCACGACATTTTTGTACCTGGATGCACTTTGTTCCCATTCACTCCCTGATGCCCTATTTATCCATCCTATCTGCTGATCCCCTTGCTCTTTTGAAGGAACTCCCTCCCAGTTTCATGTCCTTTTGTGCGTTACACCATGGGTGTAATAAGGGTTGTCTGCAGAAACGTGGGGGGAAGGGTTTCCTTACAAGAGTATAGGCAATTTACCTACTGACAAAAATGTCACATGCATGCACAAGTATACACACACATGCACGTGAACGCACACACACACACATACACATATACTCAGCAACCACTATAAACCCTCAGAGAGCAGGAGTGACTACTGAGACCCTCTCTCTGCAGTGACAGGATGTCGATGGCACAATTTTGTGCAACTCTCATGCAGATAGTCAAAGCTCCTGATGGTTCAAATGTGCCAGGGCCACAAGAACGGGGAGAAATTTAAAACTGGGCTAAGGAACTGTGGTGGTTTGAGTGTAATCGGCCCCCATAATGTTATGGGGAGTGGAACTATTAGGAGGTGTGGCTTGGCTGGGCTGAGTAGGGCCTTGTTGAAGGAAGTGTGACAGAAACTGTGGAGGCAGGCTATGCAGTTTCCTCTGCTCAGGATACCACCCAGTCAGTGTCTCAATCAACTTCCTATTGCCTGCAAGTTATAGGACTCTCAGCTCCTGCTCCAGCACACATCAGCCTGCACCGGCCATGCTCCCATCAAGATGGTAATGGACTGAGCCTCTGAAACTGCAAGTGAGCCACCCCAATTAAATATTTTCTTTCTAAGAATTGCCATGAGTTACACTCCCCAAACCTAGGGGAAGTGCTGTGTGCGCTGCGTCCACTCTTTCAAGATCTTTGGCGTCTATAAGACGGTGAGTCCGAGTTCTCAGTAGTCCTCATTGTCCGCTATGTTCAGTGAGTCCGGTTTTATCCCAGGCTTTTTCAGACCCAGGCCAGCTGGCCTTGGTGAGTTCCCAATAGAACAACCCCGTTGTCTCAGTGTGTGGGTGCACCCCTCGCGGTCCTGAGTTCCTTGCTCGTGCTCTCTCTCCTTCTGTTCCTGTTTTGGACCTTGAGGTTTCTGTCCGGTGCTCCAATGTGGGTCTCTGTCTGGTTTTTGATCCTACAGCACTTACTGGCTTTGTGGGAGCCTAGGCAGTTTGGATGCTCACCTGGATGACCTGGATGGAGGTGGGAGGTCCTTGGACTTCCCACAGGGAAAGAAACTCTTTGGTCTGACAAGGGAGGGGAACTTGATTGGGGGAGGGGGAGGGAAATGGGAGGCGGTGGCGGGGAAGAGACAGAAATCTTTAATAAATAAATTAATTAATTTAAAAAAAATTAATTAATTAAAAAAAAAAGACGGTGAGTCCGGGAAACTTGATGCTGAGCCTGACACTGCTGGATCCTGGTTTTGATCTGGGCTGACTGGGACTGTGCCTTTGCTCTTTCTCTTGAAGAGAAAGTATTTAGCTACAATTTTTATTTTACAGGAGTCCACAGTTAAAAGACTTTAGAATTTTAGAGAGACTTTGGACATTTAAAGAGACTTTGTTTTAAAGATGGGGACTTTTAACGTTTGGAATGTGTTTTATATTGAGGTCTTGATACTTTTATGAAATCCTAGAGTGAACAAGAAAGGAAAGGTTATAGTTGAATAGTGATGCATTTGTGTATCAGGTTGATAATGGGTCACTTGTGCAGGTTAGTTTTATAACAACTTGACATAAGCTAGAGCCCTTTCTGAAGAGGGAGCTTTGAGTGAGAAAATGTCCCTATTAGGATCTTGATGCATGATTGATGTGGGAGGACTCACTATGGGCAGTGCTGTCTTTGTTGCCGTCCTGAATTGTAACAGAAAGCAGATTACAGGCCAAGCACACCTTGAGGACAACTCAGTAAGCAGTGTTCCTCCACAGCCTCAGTGACTCCTATCTTGACTTTGCTTAGTGATGCACTGTGATATGGAAGTGTAACCTGAAACAATTCCTTTCCCCTGTCCCCTCAAGTCTCTTTTTGTCATGGTGTTTTATCACAGCAATAGAAAAGTAACTAAAATAGGCATATTTCCTAATTGTAAGGATTTGTGACCTGAAAAAGACTGATTTCTGCCAGACAGCCTCTCACTTATTTAGGCTCGTCTTAGTTCAAATTTGTCTGAAGACCTTCAGCTACTTGCTTCTCCTTTTCCTTTGGGATCGGATATCATTATGAAGTAAGAGACATAAAGATGAAACACTGGGTAACACTGAAAAAGACAAGAAAGCCCTAGGTTCAACGTGGAAGGTGTCCAGAGAGGGAAGACACACTGCAGAAACATCTAGAGATGTAGTCACAGCAGTGTGCCCTACCACCTCTTACTCAGATTGTAGTGTGCCTTCCTGTTGACTCTACTTAGGCCAAAGCAAACGAACTGACTTTCTACACTGCATATTTCTGTTTCTCATGGAACATAGAGATGTCATATGACCACATGAAATTTGTACCGTATTAACATCAACTCGCGTATTTGTCTTTTGTTTGAGCTTTTATTCCAAAAGAATTTGTGAAGTGGCACTATAGGCTGTCTAGAAAATTTACCCATAAGAAACAGTTAAGGGACTGACTTACTTTTCTATTGTGGTGACAAAATATCATGACCAAGGAAACTTATAAAACAAATAACAACAACAAAGGAACATTTAATCATTCCACAATCGCAGATGAAGGTGTGGAGCCAGAAATAGCTGAGAGCTCACACCCTGAGCCAGAGAGAGAACTCAGGGGCAATGGCATGAGTCTTTGGAAATCTCACAGTCCACCCCAATGACACATCTGCTCCAACAAGGCCACAACTCCCAAACAGCTACACCAACTGGGAACCAAGTATCAAATATATGAGCTTATAGGGGGCATTCTCATTCAGACCACCACAGGGAGGAAGTAGAAAGTTTAAAGTGGAGGTATAGGAGTAAAAGATATGATCGTGTTGTGGCAAACCTAATCTCCCTATCAATAATAATTATAGAAACTTAAAAGTTCACTTTAAAACCATAAGTGTAGGGGCTGGAGAGATGGCTCAGAGTTTAAGAGCACTGAGCACTGGCTGCTATTCTTCCAGAGGTCCTGAGTTCAAGTCTCAGCAATGACATGGTAGCTTACAACCATATGTACTAAGATCAGATGCCCTCTTCTGGTGTGCAGCTGTACATGCACATACAGCATGAGTATAAATAAATTAATTAACTTTTACAAACCACAAATGTACATGGCTAAGAAATCCCTTCTGCTCAATTGATAGTCAAGGAGAAATTCTAGGAAAGGGTTGATGTTTGTTAAATTACCAAAATGTTGTAGACGACTGTGAAGCAAAGACTTGGAGAGAAAATGAAGAAAGGGAATAATGAGGGAAAAGGAAAGGAGGAGGGAGGCTATAGGACATTGCTCAGACAATAAATGATGAAATACACTCTAGGAATCTGATTAGGAACAGAAGAAAGACATATTTCATCATCGAATTCTCACAAAACCCTAAATAAGAGAAGAGTGCAAATTCTTAGTCCCCAAGCTTTAGTTTAAGCACAAATTTGACTGTACCAGTTTCATAAATTCTTTTACTCTTCAAAATTCTTTTTCTGTATTTTCAAGACAGGGTTTCTTTGTATAACTTTGGCTGTCCTGGAACTCATTCTGTAGACCAGGCTCGCCTCGAACTCACCAAGATCCACCTGCCTCTGCCTCTCAAGTGCTGGGACTAAAGGCATGTGCCACCAAGACCCAGCACTATTCAGTTTCTTAGAGATGTGTATCATAACAAGGAAGACTAACAAAGAGCCTGACTCTACAAGACAGACGGAATTCACGGAACAACAGGCATGGAAACTCAGCAAGACCAGTGTGATTTCCCAGCATGGGACAGAACAAATCT